TAAGATGATGAAGATGTTGAAGATGTAAGATGATGAAGATGATGAAGATGTAAGATGATGAAGATGATGAAGATGTTGAGATGATGAAGATGTTGGGATGAATTGAAAATGTTGACATGACAAAGATGAATTCCACGATGAAATGAGAAATAGGCATGCCTGTCTAATCCCCCCGACCCAAAACCTCCTTGACAGCGTGAATAACCTGCTCGTGCACCGCCTCCGGCGCAGCAATAATCCCCTTGTTCTCCTTCAGCGTCCTTCCAACCCCAAAATTCAGCTCGTTGCCCAACGCATCCGTGACGCGGCCACCGGCCTCCTGGACCAGCACGACACCCGCGGCGTGGTCCCAGATCTTCTCCTGGTACGTCTTGCTCGTGGGCAGGCGCAGGTAGAGATCCCCCGCGCCGCGGGCAATGGAGCAGTACTTGGCCTGCGAGTCCATGCGCACGCTCTCCTTTGTGATGCCGAGGCGCTGCGCGATGGCGGCCTGGTCGCCGTGCGACGAGTGGCCGGCTTCGACGCTCTCGCAGAAGGTGGCTTGCGAGACGTCCGGCAGCGGCGCCATGGCGATGGGCTTGGGCGGCGCGAGCGCGCCGTCTGTCAGCGCACGGCTGGTCGCGCCCTGGCCCTTGACGGCGCCGAACAGCACGCCCTTGGCCTCTGCGGCGGACGCGTCGACGCCAATCTCGGCGGTCAGCGGCGCCTTGTCGTCGACGGGCAGGTTGGGACACCCGATGACGCCGACGGTCGGCACGCCGTCGACCATCAGCGCGAGACACACGGCGTACTGGCCGCCGCGGAGGAAGCCCTTGGTGCCGTCGATGGGGTCGAGCGCCCAGATGCGGCCTCTGCTTCCACCCTGGCTCGCGCCGCCGTCGAGCGCAGCCAGCATGTCGTCGGCGGACTCGATGGGGCCCCCGACGGCGGCCTCTGCGTCGCGCGAGCTCAGCCTGGCCGCCTGGACGAGGTCCCAGACGAGCGCCTTCAGCGCCGCGTTCGCGCGCAGGTCGTCGGCGTCCTCCTCGCCCACCACCTCGTCGTCGGGGAAGGCGCTCTTTATGCTGCTGATGATCAGGGCCTGGGCGCCAAAGTCGCCAATGGTGACGGGCGACGCGTCGCTCTTGGTGAGCGTGCCCTTGGAGTGCGAGGCGTAGACGCTCTTTGTGAGGATGGAGGCGCGCTGGACGGCGAGCAGCGCGAGCTCGAGCTCTTTCGCGTACGCCATGGCGGGGAGCGTGCGATTCGTGTAGACGGCGGACGCGGGGTGCGCGACGTGCGACTTGATCTGGAACAGGCGGGCGGCGTGGCGGAAGAAGACGGTCGGCTGCAGCAGCGCGGAAGCCAGGACGACGGCGGCGAGGAGGAAATAGTTTCGGTAGGGCGCGATGGGGGGCATTGGTGGAGCGCTTGGTCGACGGGGCGCTTGGTTGCGTAACCGGTGGGGGTTGGGCGACGAGCCGCGGGCGACGAGCCGTTGGTTGCGGCGAGCGCTCGGGGGTTTGCGCTTCGGGCTGGTGGTGCGAGCTGCTCGGACAACCAGACGCGCTCCGACAGCGCCTCGCCCTCAGCACACACAATCGCACACACAACCACCCAACCGCCACACACAATCACCCAACCGCCACACACAACCACACAACCGCCACACACAACCGCCACACACAACCGCC